CGCCCAGGCAACAAGGCCCGCCTCCGCCCGGGTGCAGGCGCTCCGCGCAAGGGACTAGGAGGCATTTTTCAACCCCAATCAAACAAGAAAAGGGACCGTCGGTTTTCCAAACGTGGAAAAGGAGGGGCCCTTGGACACTCGGGCTCAGAGAGGGGCTAAGCGGGCTCCGTCCTGCTGTTTTCAAGGTAAAACACTTTGTACAAAATGAGCTAGCAACTACAACAATCACAATAATAACTGATCAAAGGCCTTTGTCCTCAAAATCTTGAAATGCTATTTAGGGATGTCAGGAATTTGAGCCGATTTCCGCAGGGGAGACCAGGCGCAGTGCTGCAAGAATTTTTAACACACGCAATAGTCAGGGGCACTGATCTCTTTCCCCTTAAATTGTCAAATAAATAAAAAAATGACAATAGCCGTCGGGTGTGAATGAATAAAAAAATTATACCTATTGTTTTGGTCAGATCTGCAAAAAATGAAACAGACTTTTTTGTGTGTCGCCGAATTTTAGTAACTAGTTTATGTGTGCCGTGAGACGGAAACGGTTGAAAAGCGCCGCTTTCAGGTTATTGAATGCGTTCTGAACCAGGCGAATTTGTGAAATTTGAAAGTGGGTCAATGTCATTGTCGTGAGCAGCCCGCACTGCCCTCTGGCGGCCACGTGAGATGTAGCGCGTGTGCTGTGCGGCTCACACCAGTGAGATGTCTTCCCCCGCTTGCTGTTAGGCCAAAATAAATTCTGTAAGAGTCAGTGTTTTGGGGGTACCATGTTTGAAAAATGTTGTTTTTATCTTATACAGACTTAAAATTTTTGTCTTATAATATTCAGTTAACATAAAATGTGCTTTAAACCAAACCGGTCAGCACAGCCCTGTCCTTCCCTCTGGTGGACGGAGCAGGTGCTGAGCTGAGCATGGGGTTGGCGGGACGACTGTGACTGTCACAGACGACAGGTGGCGGGAGAGTTGATGAGACTAAGGCCGAAGCCCCTATGATTCCATAGCTTTTTCTTTCAACAAATAATAAGATGTCTGGTGGCCCCTGTGAGGCCTGAGGGGTGCAGGGTTCCTATCTCAGGAGACACACAGTGGGGGCGGGTATAGACCTTCAGTAGTTATATCCCCCTAACTAGAGATGTGAAAAGACAGCAAGGAGGCCCCTGTTGGCCGAGTGGTCAGGGTGGGCTGCTCTGAGGGTGATTCATTGACTCCCAGGATGAGCCAAGCCAGCCAGATGGGGAGGCCCCAGCCAGGACACAGCCCACAAGAGGCCCCGGGCCCAGTAAACTGCTGTGGATGGGTCTCCCTTGTCCTTAAGTCACTGTCCTGTATTCAAAGTCCAGAAGAGGAGTCGGGCCATGCACCTAACTTGTTCGCACACCTGCCCCTCGACAAGAAAGGTCAAGATGCCTCGGTGGTTAGCCCAAGGTCAGCCCCAAGGTGAAACCAGAGGAAGGGCCAGTGTCCTCTGCCATCTCCAGCCCTGTCTCTCTTGCCCAGAACAGCACAGGAGCAAAGGTATGGGTTTGATCTGTTGCGAGGAACAATCCTCAATTCCTTCTAATTTATCTCTAGAGGCGAGAATTGCACCCCTCTGGACGCTTACGTTTTTACTAGTAGCACATTGGACACTTGTCTTAAGTGCGTGGTGAAAATTCCAACAGGGTTGAGAACACGACTCCCCTGGCAGAGGGACCAGTGGATGGATGTGTGAATCAACAAACAGGCATCAGGTGTCTACGACGTGTCAAGCCCGGTGCTGGGCCCGAGGCTCATTAAGCCGCTGCAAAAATGGAAAGGTTATATGTTTGCCCCGTGTCCCGTAGAGGACAGGCGCTGTGCACCGGGGCTAAGCAGGGCAGGGCTGGCGGGGAGGGGACCGTTCAGACTCCTATGTGGCCCCCCGGCCCTATTCACCAGACACCTCACACTCCAGCCGTGGGTCCCCGCCCAGCCCACCCTCCTGCCCTGGTCCAGACCCTCTGGGGGAGGTGGTGCCCCCAGAATGAGGACATTTCTGTCCCAGGCCAGCAGCTGTCACCTGAGAAACATGGAGATTACCCCACCAGGCGACAGGCTTGTTGTAGGGAAACAGGGACAGCTCAGGTTCCCTCCCAAGGTGATTAACCCGGGGGAGACATGTGGCCAAGCTCCCAGGGCATCCACCCTCCCGCCTGCTGCCCACCCAACAGGCTGAGCCCGGAAGGGCCTGGGGGAGAAACCAGCTGGAGGGGGGTCTCCTCACCTTCCTGGGAGGACTTGACATGAATCCCGTGGGGGCGTCCCGGGCTGCAGACCCTGGCCCCCTGCCCAGGCCTGGGCGAGAAGCAAAGCCTGCAGAAAGTGAGCCGGGCCACAGCCTCGATGTCCTGGCCACCGGCTCCAGGCGCCAGCTGAGCCCTGAGGTCACCGCTGGCAACCTCACCAGCCGCCCTGGCCCTGCTGATCCCAGGGGACCCAGCAGCACGGAGACATTAATCCACTTCTTACACATACTCACTTCACACTTACGTACCTCGAGCTGCACTCAGAATTGGAGGGGTTGGTGGTTTTAGAGGCTTTCCGCTCCCTCGGTCCTCGGGGCCTTGAGGAACAGAGCCTGGGGGGGAGGTCGGGGGGGCGAGCAGCCAGAGGCCCAGACAGGTCTCAGAGCTGCCACTCACCCTGCCTCACAGCCTCTCTCTGGACCTCAGTTTCCCACCTGGTCAATGGGTTAAACTACACCTGACACACCTTTGAAGGATGAACGTGAGACCCCGGGGAGTGTTTGCAAAGTGGAAACGGATCAAGGTGGAGAGGTTCCTTCTGTCTGAATCTCACACCCATGTTGTTTGCTCACCCAGGAATTCAAAGTTCATTTTTTAAGAAGTCTACAATTGACTCGAAGGAAACCACCCTAATCGCTTGGTTGGGAGGGTGGGAAGCCCGTAGGGGTGACGTGGACTGGGCTGCAGGATTCCCCCAGGAAGAGGGCTGGGAGGAAAGCTCTGGGGTGTCCCTTCTGTCCAGACAGCTATTCTCAGAGCCCGTGGTGGGCCTGCTGGTTAGAGTGGGAGGCTGGGCATCGTTCGGAACTGAATCCTTCGTGTAACAGAGAAGGAAACTGAGGCCCAGACACTGTCGTGACTTGCCCTGGGGCACATTGCCGGGGGCCAGAGCAGCTCTTGGGTGTCTGTGAGGCTTGTAGGACTCAGTCTTGCCTGCCCCAGCCCCCAACCCCAGGTGAAACCAGGACTCAGGATTTGGGTGAGCGTCTGTTTCCTGCTTCCAGGGCGCATGGCCTCCACCAGAGAAGTCACTGCTGGGCGCTGTGTGTCTGCCCCTCGGGCTGGGGTTCAGGACTGGTCCCTGCTGTGTGCTCAGCGGGGGATCTTCCCGGGGCACCTGCTCTGGGTTTTTCCACTGGCTCTTCACAGAGGCCACCGACCCCAGCAGCTGCAGTGGGTTCAACCCCGGGACTGTTTCCAATCAGACAGCATGAGCTGTGGCCTGTGGACCAGTTTGCTGAGCCTGGCGAGGTGTTCGCCCTTTCCTTTGGGGCCAGCTACCCACGGCCCCAGCCCATGGGCAGTGCCAGGCCTGCTGCTGGGGAGTCTGGCTCCCTCTTGATTTCAGGGTTTTGTCCTTTGATGGGATAACCTCTGAGTTATTCTCTTGGGGGGCCACAGGAATGAGCCTGCCACACAGCTCGGCCAGGCCCTGGTTACGAGAAGGTCATGTTGACAGGATATTAAAAATAGATTGCAAACAAATACATCATTCCATTTGGATTCCTGGCCATTGGCCTCTGATCCCTCCTCCCGGGGGCCCTGGAGACAAGGGCTTACTTTGCCCAGATTCCCTTAGGCTCCTGCCATGGGTGACCGCCCTTGGCGTGGCTCTAGGTCCTTCTTCCCGCCCCAGTGGGTGTCCCTGGAAAGAAAGCTGACAAAGCAGTTAGCAGCCTGGGCAGTTCATCACAGACTAGAGCGGAGAGGTGCTAAATCTTCCCCAATCAGTCAAGGGCACCCGCCCGGAGGTCCTTCCGCGGAGAAGATCTATCTCCAGTTCTGACATTGGCCTTGGCGGGCAAGGAGCTTAACCCCAGGGCCTGTGGGCCAGGAACAGACGCCCTCTCACCGTCCCGGCCGCCACCGAGCCACCTGCAAGCGTGTGATGTAATCAGCATGTTCGCGTCTCCTGGCAGAACACTGGAGGGCGAGTGATTCCTGGGCAGAACCGAGGGTGGGGGCGCTGTGAGGACAACCTGAGGGAGAGGGAGAAGGCCCTGCCCTGGGGGAGCTCACGGGGCCCGCGAGTGTGAGGGGAAGGGGGCAGGGGGGCAAGACTCAGGCCCAAACCTTCGCCAGCCTCCTCCCACGACTGATAGAGGAGGGGCTTGGGGGAGGGAGTCAAGAGGGTTACCCAGGAGGCATCCGGTAGAAACGGGTCTTCAACAAGCCACGGACAATGGCATCGGACAGAAAAAAAGATGCCGATTCGGGCATTGAGGTGACCTCGAGATCAGGCAGCAAAGGGGGCCTTCGGTTGGATGGACGAGAGCCCAGTCTCCAGGCTGCGATAAAAGCACTACCAGGAGCCCTGGCCGGTATGGCCCAGTGGTTAGAGTGACAGCCCATGGACCAAAAGGTTGTGGGTTCGATTCCTGGTCAAGGGCACACACCTGGGTTGCAGGTTCGATGCCTGACCTTGGCCTGCGCACTTGAGGGAGGCAACCAATTACTGTGTCTCTCTCACATCCATGTTTCTCTCTCTTTCTCAATCCCTCTCTCCCTTTCACTCTCTTTTAAAAATATCAGTGGAAAAAATATCCCCAGGTGAGGTTTCACAACAACAAAGCTACCAGGGGGACACCCTCTCTCTAGATTGGAGAGCACCAGGGGGCTTGGGGTGGCATCTCCCGCTCCTGGGGGTCAGAGCACACCCAGCCACGAGGAGACCTGGGGAATGTTCTCCAGTGTGGACATGAGCACCAGGGTCACCGTCTCTAGGACTGGACCACGGACGGCCCTCAGGTCTCCAGGCTCCTCCACGCTGGAGCCCCTGTCAACAGATTCCTAAACGGGCTCCTCCAGAGGCGCAAGCCGGTCACCAGACGGCAAAGCCTTTTCCGCCTCGGGCATTAATGAGGCTCAGCCGCCACTGTCAATCTCCCGGGAGCCAGCGTTTAATGGCCTCGGCTGACAGGTGGCCCCTGGGACCAGAGGTCTCTGGTGGAGCCCAGGCACCGCCGGGGGCATTTTCCAGAATTAGCTGCTGGGGCCTGGGAATGCAGGGGAGTTTTAGGAAAAGGGAAGTGGGCGCCCCCCCCCCCCGGGTTCTAAGGTCACTGGCTGAGCATTTGGAAGGTGTCACTGAGCTCACACAGCAGAGGGGCTTGTCACCTTTCCTCTCGACCGCTGCTGGCCGCGTTCCCTGGTGGAACCCTCCCTTCCTTCCCTCCTTCCCTCCTCAGCCTTCTGTCTCTCTGGTTCTCCAGGAAGCAGTTTGTAGGGGACACTGGCCAGGGCTGCAGCCGAGGGGATGAGCTCTCCCTTGTTTTACAAAAGGGAGACACCCAGGTCTCGAGGGAGGAAGAGACCGGTCTGCCGGGCTCCAGGCCCAGCTCAGTGGCCTAAGGTCGCCTCCCCTCTCGCTGGGTCAGGTTCCCTCTCCGCAAAATGCCGACAGGAGCCTCACCCTATGGGGCGGCTGTGGGGTTAGAGAGGTGCTTCTACGCGTGGGAGCCCAGCGTGGGGCCCGCACCGGGTCAGGGCGCTCGGTTATCTTCCCGGTAAAGGCCTTCGTGTCCAGCTTGACCGTTCCGTCACTCGCCGGTCACTCCCTGGACTCTGACCGCAGCTCACACCCCCCGGAATGTGGAATTTAATCTTCGGGGAAGGAATGAACACTCGTGTGGAGCCGCATTGAGAAATGAGACGGGCGGGAATGGACCGCGGGGAAAACATTTGAAGGAGGCCAAAGAAACGGTGTTTATCTGGGGCCCCGAAGTCGCGGTGGGCGCGGCGCCTCCCCCCACGCGGAGGCGAATGCTGGGGCCCGCGCTTCAGCACAGCCACAGTTCCCCTCCCCGCCCTGGCCGGTGTTGCCCGGCGGTGAGAGCGTCTGCCCTCGGACTAAAGGGCCTCCGGCTCGATTCCCAGTCAAGGGCGCACACCTGGGTTGCGGGTTCGATCCCTGGCCCAGGTTGGGGCCTGGGTGGGAGGCCACCCATCGATGTTTCTCTCTCTCTCCCTCTCCTTCCCTCCTCCGCCTCATCACTCTAAAAAATTATATCGATGGAAACAGTACTTTTAGCTGAAGATTAAAAAAAAAAAAAGAAACGAGAGCCAGGCACTGTCTTCAACTCAGTAAACAGAACAACAGAACCTCTCCCTCTCGCGGGGTTTACATTTCAAGTCGGGGAGAGAGCCGTAAACAAACACACGGGGGGGGGTCAGCGCCGTGGCAGTGCCAGCAACTTTACGTGGGACCCTCGGGAAGGTTCCAACCGAGCGACAAGGAGTCGGCGAGGCCGAGGTGAGCGTCAGCACCTCCCCGCAATGCAACCCGGTGGAAACAGTCAGGGAGAAAATTAAATGACAGAATAATGATGGATACCGAGGGCCCAGGGAAGTCGCCGTCGCTGAGTACACACCAGTCTGCGTCCCTACTTGTCCTAGAGTCACAGCAATGGCAGACGCCATTTATGGGTGACCTGACAGTGGCTATTATGTCTCCCCAGTTAGACTGAGGTCTCCCTGAAGACTGGGGCTGTGCCGCGGTCACCACCGGAAGGCAGGGGCTGTCCCCCGTCAGAGGAGGAGCCCCAGGAGGGCAGGGACATGGCCCCTCCAGTCCCCAGGGAAGGGTCCTGTCCTTGTGTTTCTTAAGCAGGAGACTGACCGTCACCTCGCCTCCCCAGGGTGGGGCCCCCCGAGGACGTGAAGCGCCCAGTGAGCCCCGGCCTAGCTCCCCACCCGGCCCTCAGTCCCAGCCCTTCTGGGTGCCCGCTTTGGCGCGGTGCCCGGGGCCGGGCCGCTGGGCAGGGATGGGGTTTCAGCCTGAACTTTACTGCCAGCTGTGTGGCCAGGCTGCTGGGAATCTGAGAAGCGGAGCCAGAGGAAGAACAGCTGAACCCAGGGAAGGAGACACTCTGCCCTTACACCCGAGGCCGAGGGGCCGTGTCCTGGGGTGTGATCCCTGGGTCCTGGTCCCGGCTGGCCACCGGGAGGGAGCGAGGCTGCCGAGAGCAAGTCCAGCGGTGGACGAAGGCGGGACTTGCCACTTTTCTCCGAAGGAAGCTTCACCTACGGGACATGTGACGAGGTTACGCCATAGGGAGAGGGGTGTGAAAATGTCACCCCCGACACCACACTGGGCACTGGGAGGATCCCTGGACAATGGTCAGGACACCTGTCAGCGGCTCGAGTGGTAGCCTGGAGATTTCCAGAAAAGGCCGGACTGAGGGCCAGGCAGCCCCTCCACCCCCTCCAGTGTCTACTGCCCATCGCAGGGGCCAGGCTGGCATCTGACTCAGGACCCGTCACACAGCTAAGATTGCCGCCTTAGTGTCACAGAGGGCAGACAGAGGACAGAGGCGGGTGGGGACCATGGGGACCCATCTCAGCTCCTAGAATCCTGAAACTTCCATCTACTGCAATGAGTGGGACCCCAGGGTGGTGCAGGGCAGGTGAGAGGTCCCCCCAATGGGGGTCTGCTAGCCATCCAGGCTTCAGGGAAGAAATTTCAGCTCCCTGGGGACCGATGGGGCCACTGAAACGCAGAACGGCTCCCCCTCCCTGTCCTCGGGCTCAGGAGGTAGCCTGGAGCCTAGGGCCCCACTGTGAGAAAGGGCACCCTGGGGTTACCAGACCACCTACCTGGGAGCTGCCTTTCGCTCCCACCCCCTCCAGCTCCTTTTCTACCCTGCACCAGAGTGAGCTTTTAAAAAGGCAAATTGGGCCCTGGCTGGCCGGGCTCAGGGGTTAGAGCGTCCTCGAGAAGGGTCACGGGTTTGATTCCCAGTCAAGGGCATGCACCTGGGTTGCAGGTTCAATCTCCAGCCCCGGTCGGGACACATACAGGAGGCAACCAATCCATCACTGTTTCTCTCTCTCCCTCTCTCCCTCCCTCCTTTCCACTCTCTCTGAAAAACCATGAAAACATATCCTCAGGTGAGGATTTTAAAAAAAGCAAATTGGGTCCTGTCGTCCCTCCAGCTGAAAGGAGCCTCCTTGGCTCTTAGCACAGAGATCCAAGTTTTCAAGCGGCTTCCAAAGTTTACCTGTGCAAACTCACCTCCACCCACTCGTTCGGCCCTCCCAGCTCCCGCTCTCCGCCGGTACCTTGACCCCTCGAGCGGGAGTGGCAGTTTGGAACTGGCCACTGGACACCTGTCTCCCCAGTGGACTGTGAGCTCAGGAGGGGGCCTGGTTTTCTCCCCTTTGTGCTCTGAGGCCCGACACAGGGCAGGTGCTCAGCATATATTTGCTGAGCTCTTCCAAAGGGGGGCAGGCAGCCTTATCGCCTCACCTCCTGGGCCTCACCTGCCCTTCGCTCTCATTAAGATCTGTTACCACCTACACTATCCCCAGTTCCCACCTTCCTTCCCCTCTTCCATCCAGTCTTCTGGCCAGCTGGCCTGGTCACCCCTTCTATCCCAAGAAAGCTCACCTCCTCCTGGAAGGCCTCCTGGCCCCACGACTCCCAGGGTCTCTTTCGGTGGAGTGCACCCCCACGTGGAGTCTGTGGGATCACGGCCCTCTTGTCAGTCTGGGTCTGTGACTAGCTCCCCAAATGTGTAGCCTGTTTGGTGCCACTTTGGGTTGTGATTCCCACGGGGACAGTGGCTTTTTATGTATCTGTGTGACTTATGGTATCTGGGGTCTCAAGGGACCGGCTTAGCTGTAAAGCTAAGGCTTCGGGTAATAAGACGCCCCCGCTGAGAGGGGTCATCCAAATGGCACCACACAAAGCAAACTTCGCTAAGCCGGCCTGGTTAAGAGCTTAAAGCTTTGCGAGACCAGGCGTTGGAGGGACCAAATGTCACAGGACCCTTCCGTGTCTGACCTCAGGGAGGCCGGGGCATTACCCCTGGGGGGCCTTGCCCTGCCAAGCCCAGGCAGGAGGAGAAGGAAGGAGGCGGGCCAGTGGGAGGGGCAGAGGGAGCCCAAAAAGGCCGTGGTGACCTACATCTGCCCCAGCACTGCTTGTCCACTGCAGTCCTTCCAGAGGCTCGGGCAGGGTGCAGCAGCTGGAAGCAGGGAGGAGGGAGCAGACGGGAGGCTGGAGGCCAGCTGTGCACCCAGGTAAGTGGGCACTGCACACCTGCTTGCACACCTGGGCGGGGGCAGGGCCAGGGCCAGGGCCAGGGCCAGGGCCAGATGGAGATACCTGAGGGCTCACTAACTTGTCCATTCAAGAAGGGGCAGGCACAGGGCATGAGATTTTCAGGGGATATCCCCCAGCGGCCAATCGCACCCTGGGGTGCGTGGTCACCCGTCCGGACAGTGGCCCCGTCTGGGTGTTTCTGTCCGGGCTCTGCTTGGCTCAGACTGTGAAATGTTGACCAGGTTACAGATCTGACTAGCTGTTCAGGATGAGGCCCTGGGGCTGGACTAGGTACGTCTCAGCGTAGCCAAGAGAAACCCCAGCTGAGGAAGTGGGCGCAACAGGAGCCTGGGTCCGTAGACTGAGGGCAGGGGGCGGAGGGCCGGGGTCCCGGAGGCTGAAGCCCAGTTGGGAGAGGCCTGAGCGAGGGCGCTGTGCCGAGAAAGATCCGGGTCCTTCTCAAAGAGGAAATGGAGTGCGGAGACCAGGATTCATTTCCTCCCCGCGCCGTCCAGTCAGGACCACAGTCCCCCGGCTCCCACCTAGCCAAGCTCTTGCCCGTTTGGCATTGACCTTGCACCAAATCTGGCTGCTTCCAGAAAAGAACGGAGGTCCAGAGGGTGGCACGGCTTAACATGGGACCCCCCTGTCCCGCGTGTAGGGCTCTGCGTGGCTCTCCTTGTCAGCTGGCCCCTGCAGGCGGGGGGCTGGGGGACAGGACTGTGCTAGTGCTACCTCTTCATTGTGAAAAATGGCCGTGTGAGTGAGTGACCGAGCTGATAGTGATGATGACAGGTGAGGGAGGTGACAACTAGGAGACCGGGGTGAGCCGCTCCGGGGTGGGGTCGTGGCCAGGGGCCAGGTGGCTGTGCGGGCGCGGGTGGGGCGGGGGCCCCTCTGCCAGCTTGGCGGCTGCTCTCCGTCCTGGCGCTCCCTCGTGACTCCCGGCTGCATGGTGGCTGCGGCCCGGTGACCGCTCCAGAACGTCGCTGGCGCGGCGTGGCATTCCAGCGTGTCGGGGGGCGGCGGCCGGGCCGCGGGAGGGACGCCGTGGCGGGGCCAGCCGTGCCAGTGGGTGGGCAGCTGTGAAAGGGAATATGTCCTGTGTGCCGGAATGTGCCCTGTCATGGGCGTCCACTCTGAGGACAGGGCTCTTTGGGCAGGAAACGGAGCCTCCAAAGTAGAACGCCGTGGCCACGGGCCAAGCACGTCGGAGGGGGGACGGCTGGAGATCCCTTTCAAGACGGCCCTTCCCCTCTAGCTCAGGGCTCTGGTCAAGGGTCCCCCCCAGCCCAGAGACTGCGCCCTCTCCTGGGGGGCACTTCCCCTCAGCCACTGCGGACTGATGCAACGAAAGGAAATCGGGGAGCAGGGTGGGGACAGTGGCGGTGGGTGGAAGACCCCCGTCCACCTCACATTATCAGCAGAACCTCGGTTCTGGAACTAAATTCGTTCTGGAAGGCTGTTCAAAAACCCAAGCATTTTTCCCCCCATTAAAAATAACATGAATGGAATTAATCCGTTCCAGACCCCCCAAATGATTCGGTTTTAACCTTTCTTAAATACATACTGTATATGTCCAATATACCGTTTAGCCTATAAATAAACACTTTAAAAAGCAGAAAGGACATGAAACCTCAATAGAATTTGAACAAGAAACGAAATGTCCAGTAAAAAATGAAAATTTTGTAATAATAGTAAGCGGCAACAAGAGCAAAAAACCTCACAAAACCACGAAAATATTCACAGCACAATATCCTGAGATGTTAACAACGTGAGGTCCGGCGGTAAACTGACTCAGGCTCACACAGTCGCTCCTTCAGCTGTCCCCTGAGAGACGCGTGACTGACCACGCGGGTGTCCGCGCGAGAGGGGTTGTCAGGTCGAGAAGTAAATTGTTCGAGACGGGAGGCGTTCGAGAAACAAGGCTGGACTATAATTCACTGGCCCCAGAGGGGGGCAGGCGGATTCGTGGGGACAAGAACAGCCAGGCGAGGGGTCTCCGGCAGACCTGGCGATCGGCAAGATCCAGACCTGCTGAGGGCGGGAGGGAGAGGCTGCCAGGCCCCACTGGGAAACCTGAGTTTGTCCCTCGGAAAGTCGCATCCAAAGTCGAGGGGTCCAGGCTATGAGAGCTGGAAAAACCCCGGATGCCGGGAGCTTGTTCTCTGGAGGTATGAGGAGGCTGCTTCACCCCCAAGTGGCCATCGGGCTTGGGCTTCCGCCTGGAGGCCAGGCCACCAGCACAGTTTGTAGGCAACTGTACCCAGGTGCCCCCAGACGCTGGCCGATGCCCTCCCTGTGGGCGGGCTGGGGTGAGACCCGCCGAGCCCCCAGAAGCCCATCTTCTCTTCTCAGGAGATCTATCGCCACCCACGGGAGCCAACGAGGAACCAGACCATGGCAGGTGAGCAAGCGGAAGGAGCAGGGCTCAGAGGCCTCCGGGAACTCACCTGTCTCTGCTTTTCTAGTTTTGGCTTTGGGGTCTGAGCTGTTTGCCTAATGGGTTCAGAGCCCCCTATGGAGGCCCTGCTTCCTGGGGAGGACCCCCTCCTCCTCCAGTTTCTCCCTGGGGACACTCACAAGGTCTCCCCAGGGTGCCCCTGCCCACTTCCCAGGGGCTCTGTTCACACTGCTGGAGGACCACAGCCAGACTCCCCTAGAAAAGTCAGACGCACCCCACAGGCAGGCGCTATGAGCCTGTCCCACCCAGCACGGGACAGCGAGGGGGCTCTTGTTTCCCGGGTCAGTGCCCCACTGTGTTGAGGGCCACCCACGAGGGGGGCAGGAGCCATCTTCCTTTCTCCCACGTCCTCAGGGAAGCCCCTCAAGAAGCACGGGGTGACCACCCGGCAGCTGGTGGACAAGGTCCCCGAAGGATGCAGCCTGCCAGACTTCGAGCAGAAGCCGGTCACCATGGCGCTGGCGGAGGGTGAGGCCTGGGGTGGGGCTGAGGGAACCCCGCTCCGCCACCTCTGGCATGCTCAGCCCCCGTCCCCAAGGCCACCCCACCCACACCACATCTGCCTACATTGGGGGGTGCCTGCCTGGACCCCCAGAAGGGACAGAATGGGTCTAGGGAAGGAGCACACACCGTGCTTTTCAGATACGAGACGTAATTGGGAACAAGGAAGGGAAATGCTAGATGGGGGGGGG